ATCTATTATCCTTAGGTCTAGACACATTCCTAAACAAGTTCTATCCCTAGACAAATGTTCATTTGCAAAGATAACTCAAACATCTAATCTCTTAGGTTGAATGTTATCTAAACAATCATTAAGACCTAGACTATTAACCATTCAAACAGCTTTAACATCAAATCTCTTTGGTAAAGAATGTTAGAAGCAATGAAGAGTTGGTTCAGGTATTTCATCAAACACCTTGTGGGTTTGAAATACCTAAAGATCAATTCTAGAGAGGCCAACTCTAAAATAGCATTAAAATCACCCAACAAGCAAGGAAATAGATGGATCTATATTCTAACACCTTAGATCTAGCTTAATCCCCCTTGGATCTCCCTAACCCATGAATCCAAAGATGTCTACTCACTAATAACCATGATCACACTTAAACCTATGAAGGATTTAAGGTAAATCATGATTAGAAAGCAAAGAAACACTTAAATAATCTCAAGAACACAAGATAAAAGATGAAACTTAGATCAAAGGAATAAACTTTCACCAAAGTATCAAGTGTTTTGTAGAGAAAACAAGATAATCCTCAGGATTAGGTCTAAATTGTATTTATAGTAGCTTAAAATTAAAACCGGGTCAACCCGACAAACCCGGGTTTGACCCAAACAACTAATGGAAGGTTTGATAAAGTGATGGGACGCGGGTTGGCCTTGCCCGCGGGACGTGGCCGCGTGTTGTGGTCGAGGCATCAGCACTCTCGGGCTAGAAAACGCGGCCTCGTACTGGTCCGCGCGGCTTGGCCGCGTGATTTGGCACGGTGAGGCGCGGCCAGCCTCTTTCCCGCGTGACCTGCCCGCGTATGGAGGGTTGCGAGTGAGCTTCTCGGGACGGAATGCGCGGCCCGGTACTTGCCGCGTTACATGGCCGCGTGGACGAGGCGCGGGCTCCGAGTTGGCCGCGTGGTCGGCCCGCGTGTGGAGGTCGAGATTACTGGCTCTCGGGATGGAATGCGCGGCTTGATCTTCGTCCGCGTTACCTGGCCGCGTGGAGTGGTTCGAACAATGTGAGTTTCATCTTCTTTTTCTTGACTAATCCCTCTAATCTCCAACCTAAGCTTCTTCATACCTGAAATACCACACATGCATATGGTATGCACCTAAAGGGACTCTAAATGCAACTAAAGTAATTTAGATTAGCATAAAAAGGATGATTAAAACTATGAAATATGCAAGATATCANGCCGCGTGGAGTGGTTCGAACAATGTGAGTTTCATCTTCTTTTTCTTGACTAATCCCTCTAATCTCCAACCTAAGCTTCTTCATACCTGAAATACCACACATGCATATGGTATGCACCTAAAGGGACTCTAAATGCAACTAAAGTAATTTAGATTAGCATAAAAAGGATGATTAAAACTATGAAATATGCAAGATATCAGATTCACATTAGTTTTATTTAAAAATATTTTATTGAATAATTTCCGTGTCCTTTTGATGATAGTACTTTATTTTTTTATTTATTCAAAAACATTATTAATATTTTCTTCATTTGATTATTTTTTAAAGTAAAAACCAAAACCCAAAAACTAAAATCTAAAACAACCATTCATGTTTTTTGAAAAACTAAAATCTACTACAAAATCAAAAACCAAAATTAAAAACCAAAATCTAAAAACCAAAAACTAAAAACTAAAAAACTAAAACTAAAATCTAAAAACTAACAAAAAAATCATCACCTAAGCTTATTTGAAAATATTTTATTAAGTTTGTCTTTCTAATCGATATGATAAACTACAACTTTTGTTGAAAAAAAATAAAACAAAAATAGCAATTTTAGTTAAGATATTTTTAAGTGAACAATTTTAATCTTCAACTTTAAAAATAAAATAAAAAAATCTCATACTTTCGTTGACCAAGCCATTTTAGGCTCATTAAAAGTCAACCGTTAAATATAACTAGCGGAACTAAACGGTTGAATTTTGACAAAACTAAAATGGTCTGGTCAATGAAAATATGAGATTTATTCGTGTTTAACTAGAAGTTGAAGGTTAAAATGGCGTGTTTGTGAGTTGAAGATTTTTTTACTTATTTTCTAAAGTTGAGGGTTATTTTGTCAATTTTCCGTAATTTTACTGTGTTCACTTCCTATTATTTTACTTGCATTTTAGAGTTCTCTTGTGGAAATTACCTTATTCGTTGCTACTAGTGAATAAAATGGTCATTATTACTGATCTGTTACTAGGCCCTGTTTAGAGGGTCCATTACTGAGCCCATTAAGGGTCCTACCTTGGATGCGCCCGTTAGATGGTGCTAAATGCTTACCCACTACAAGTCCTGAAGAAAAGACAAAATAATTAGAAAACAAGAAAGGAAAAAAAAAAAAAAGAAAGAAGCTGGAACAGATCAGAAGCACTTCCACGATTTGTCTAATCACATCGAATACCTTTTACCCTCTGTTTTCTTCTGGGTAATTCAACAGTATATACTCTGTCAACATATATATGAATAGAAAACCACTATTGTATCAAAGTATCAAATAAAGGGAAGCCTATATGTACTAGCCTCGCTCATTGCGCTCAATTTTTCTTTTGAATAATGAAATTCAGTTGTCTCAACCTTTTTCCATTAACAGCCCCACTCCATGTAATGTAACGCACCTATGCCATTCCACTCCATGTATGATACATGATGTATACTTGTTACTCAAAAGAGTACGTATGATCTCTTTATGGCATCAAGTTTGCACATAAACCTGATAAAAAAAACCTACTATGACCAACAGTTGTTAAGTTTTTTGTTTTGTTTTATGGGTCAAAAGACTCAAAACTAACATCTGTTTAGTCATCGACTTATAGTAACTTCTTAAAATAATTCAAACGTTGGACTTGGCAACTAGCAACCTTGATTTACTTCCCTCGATAAGACATACAACTGTACTTGTTCTGTTCTTCACACGTAATTAGTGTAAAACCAATCCTGCTATTTAGCTGTCTTTACGCAAGTTGTGACTTATCTTAAATTAAAAATAATTAAGATTTGATTACAAGTTTGTGGAATGATGCGCTACTTTTTAGTCTCTTCTGTGTTATGTACGCATGCAAATATTTTATTAGTAACTGAACTAACCTACAAAACCCTCGTTGATTACGTAATAATCAGCCATCATAACCTGAGTTATTATGCAAAGCGATTCAAATGTGAAATCGTTACGCTCTTTGTTTTGCCACGTGTCTCTTTTCGAACCACAATCGTACCGGGCGGACCGGTCTTCACGCAACAACAACAACTTTCCTAACCGTGTGGTATTGCGTTTTGTCTGACTACGTATACGTAGTAGCAATATTAAAAACATGTCATAAATCTGTATTTGTCAGCGTACTTACCAACAACACCCTTTTCCGTTTCGACGTTTCCACAGCGTCAAGCGTCAATGTCGGTGTAAATATCTCATAGTCAGGAGGGTATATCGGGAAAATCAAGTCCTTTGAACTTCCCAAGGCTCGCTCTGCGTCTCCTCTCTCTGTCATTTACTCGTTCACCTCCTCCTGACTATTCTATACTCCTTTTTTCTCTCTCTCTCAACTTCGAAACTTTAACACTTTTTCTTTTTCTTCTTCTCATTCTCGAGCTCCGGGTTTTTTCTTGAAACAGTGAAGGAATCTCTTTCTTTATCACTTTCTTGTTTTGTTGCCCATATTGTCGTTTTAGGAGGTGAAAAACTCAGAGAGCGTATTTTCTTCGATCAGGTACGTTAATTAACATCTGATCAATCTTGTTTTTTTTTCTTATTCTGAATGATGCAGTTTTGTTTCTCTCGTTTTCAATCAATAAGTAACGTGTGAAGCTAGATATAATTCCATCGTTGAAAATCCATGCCATGTTTCTTGAATTCACATTGCGTATACATTAGGAGTATTGCGATTCTCTTTCTCTGTTTTTTTTTTTGTTTCCTACCCTTTTCTTCAATCTTATTATAAGTAGGTAGTGATTTGAAGTTTTATATGATTGATAGGGTTTTAAGCAGAGGTTGGTCTGTCATTTCTATCCAGTTTATTTTGCTTTAGATTCACTCTACAATGAAGTGAGAACAACTAACAAACAAGAGATAGAAACATAGTGAGAAACTCTGACTTGTTTCCAGGCTACATAATCACTCTTCAACACAAGTCTTCTCATTGGATCTTTGAGTTAAACAAACAAAAAGTTATATGTTTAAAAGCTTAGTAAAATAGGGAATATGAATGTTTTTGTGAGTAGTAAGTCTGCGACTGTACAAAAATGTTAGGTAGCTATATTAGGCTTAGAACCTGTCCTACCTTTTTATCTTTTTCGAAATGAGTGGAATCAAATGACCATTCAATAGAATCAAATACATACAAGCATGTGTGTTTTTGTGTGTGGGGGCACTTTTTGATCCTTGGATTCTAGTTTAAACTGATTTTGGTTTGTAGCAATTATGATTCCTGAATTACTCTAATCCTTTCTTTCTCAGTGTTCCATAATTGATAACTCATGAGTATCTATATGTATTTAAGCTCACTAGCTCTTTTTGTATTCTCTTTTTGCACTTTTTTCTTGACTGTTTCTTTTCAGGGAAAAAAAAGTTAAATAGAAAATGAGAACAGAGGGGGGAGGGGATGAATTATTTGCATGTGTCATGTGTTCTTTGCAGATAACCCATTTGGGTACAATTTTTATTATATGTTATTTGTTTGATTCTATAGCAGCAGCACATTTTGACTATGTAGCCCCACCACACATATAACAAGCAAAAGATTTCATAACATTAATGAGAAAACAGAAAAGAAAAGTAGATCCGATCATGAAAAGAAAATGGTACTACACACGCAAGTTGTTTATTCTTCTTCCTTGGACATTTCTTGATTGTTTATTCCTTCAAAGAAAAACACATTTTCTTTTATATATTACCCACATTGTCCCCACAACTTTGGATGAGTCTTTAAGCTGTGCCCACTTGATATTGTAGGCATGTATCTCCCCTCTCTGTGTAACATATATAAATCTATATGCATACTTCTCTCCTTTGTGACCAATAAAGTGTAGTGTTAGCCACTAGTGAGATCATCTCTTCAATCTCCTTATCTGCTGTTCATTACAAAGTGATGAAGCTATATTAATGGTCCTAGATCTAAATCTGCTTTTACTTTTTCCTTTTATTTAGATATTGACATCCATTACCAAGTCCCAATCCTAACTTTTCTACCTTATCATTATCTTCTTTAACCAAACATTGGTGACGTATCTTGCAGATGGAGAGTGTGAAGCCATTGGATGTTACTTCAGGAAAAGGAAAACTCAGACGCGCGTTTGTGAAAGTCATCAACATCAAAAAGCTAACCGGTGTGGTTCCAGAAGGTGACAAGATTGAGAAGCTGAAGGTAGATAAAGACTTAGTAAAGAATGCTGCAAACCTCTCAGAGTCTTTCGACAAGCTTGAGGAAGAGTATGAGAAAAGACTCGCCATGGAAGCTCTTCTCGCAAAGCTCTTTGCTACTGTCTCTTCCATAAAATCAGGCTACGCGCAGTTGCAGTACGCTCAGTCACCGTACGATCCAGCTGGGATACAGAGAGCAGACAGCTTGATCGTGTCAGAGCTGAAGACATTATCTGAAATGAAACAGAGTTTCTTCAAGAACGAGTTTGATACAAATCCCGATAGAACTCTAGTCCTCGCCGAGATTCAAGAGCTCAGAAGTTTGCTAAAGACTTACGAGATCACGGGAAAGAAGATGGAGTGTCAGCTAAAGCTTAAAGACTCTGAGATCCTCTTTCTGAAAGAGAAGTTTCAAGATTTAATGAGTCAGAACAAGTTGATGGAGAAGAGACTTAACCAAAGCGGTCCACTGGATCATAATAACAGTCCAACTCATTTCGTTACTTATCTTCACCACACAGTCAAATCAATCCGTGGATTCGTTAAAATAATGGTTGAGCAAATGAGATTCGCTGGTTGGGACGTCCTTACAGCAGCTGAATCAATACAGTCTGAAGTCTTGTACTACAAGAAAGACCACACGTGTTTTACTTTCGAGCATTTCGTTTGTAAAGTAATGTTCGAAGCGTTTCATCTACCTTACTTCTCAACCGAATCATCTTCATCATCATCAAAGAAGAGTAAAGAGATGTTCTTTGAGAGGTTCACGGAGCTTAGATCAGTGAAAGCGAGAGAGTATATCACGTTAAGGCCTAAATCAAGATTCTCTAGGTTTTGTAGAGGTAAGTATTTGCAGCTCGTGCATCCGAAGATGGAGCTCGCGTTCTTCGGACATTCACACGTGAGGAACCAAGTTAATGCGGGGGAGTTTCCGGAGACGAGTTTCTGCGCTGCGTTTTTGGAGATGGCGAAACGGGTTTGGCTGTTGCATTGTCTTGCGTTCTCGTTTGATCCTGAGGAAGCTTCGATCTTTCAGGCTTCTAGAGGTTGTAGATTCTCGGAAGTGTATATGAAGAGCGTGTCGGAAGAATGTTTGTTGTCGGAGTCTGAGCCGAGTGTCGCGTTTACTGTGGTTCCTGGGTTTAGAATCGGGAAGACTTCGATACAGTGCGAGGTTTACCTCGCTAGTTCAAAGTCAACGGCAGGGGTATTAAGGTAATTTAAGTGGTGGGGGTATTTTTGGGTTTTAGGAAATAAATGATGGAAAAATTTGCTGACCGTTGGATCAAGTATGGCAGATTATGCTTGTGTTGTTTTTTTATATAAAATATATATTTTGTCAATATTAGAGCAGAGAGACTGAAGCATCTCTGAGCTGTTTTCCATCAATTATTATCTATCGTCACTATCTTATGTAAATAATTCGTAATAATAATATATTTTCAATTTATGCATGATGTTGAAAATTGTTACTGAATGAATCATGATATCAATTAGTGCATCAAAATAGAGAATGTATGATTAAAGTATATAATTTGTTGTGAGTGGAATTGAGATATTTCCAAAAGGGACTGAACCACGGACTTTGATTTGTTTCTTCAACTTTTTTAGACCAATTCCTCTAATATATTATTTGCTTATTCGGAATTCTGACCCACCCACCGACCAAATATATAAGATAATACTCTGATGGGTCCATTATATTTTTGATAGATCTCATGGGCCCAAAAGTAGTCCTATCCAAGGATCTTTATAATTCCACGACGTCTGGGTCCAGGCTCGGTGGGTTTATTATTTGCTACATGAATAACTGAACCAATCCGGTTAGTATCACTATATGCTGGTAACAATTGAAAATTTGATATCTCAAACTTGTCATCTTGTCTAGGCTTCGGTAGAATCTATGGCAATTGATGGGTTCAGGTGCCATTCAGAAATTGAGACCAAAGTGGTTGTTTTTTTCACAATTACACCTGAATTATTTACAAGCCGGACCAAGTTTAACAATTTTTTTAGCTAAAAAATGCTTTCAGTTTTTGACATCTGGATACAGTTTTACACGTAACGTAACTTGTCCAGCAAAATACACCATCAATTCACAACGCGATAAAACTTGACTTTCCTTTTGACTAATCAATAAGTTATACGTTAAATACAATAAACAAAGTCGGTGGCTAAACAAAAAAAAAATATTTATATAAAAAGCATAATGTATGAGATAATATAAAATGGTTCGAGCATCCCAAACACCACGGAGGACCCAAAAAAAAAAAAGAATGAGCCAAGAGACAGCGATAGAGAGCTTCAAGAAATTTCAACACTCATGGGTAGAGCAGCTACAACACCACCTCAACCACCTACGCTCCGTCCAAAACCACCACCGTAACTCTGCGTCCGGTGACGAGGAACGGCTGAGAGAGGCTGTGGAGAGAGTGATGGGACTTTGTAGAGAGTACCACAGGGCGAAGTTGGCCACGACGGACAAAGATGTGATCGGAGTTATGACTGCTCCTTGGTCTTCGGCTCTTGAACGGTCACTCCATTGGGTTGGTGATTGGCGACCAACCACCTTGTTTCATCTGGTTTACACCGAGTCTAGTATTTTGTTCGAGTCTCGTATCGTTGATATTCTCCGGGGGTTTCGTACCGGTGATCTCAGTGATCTATCTCCTTCTCAGTTCAGGTTATTAACCAAACCCTAATTAATATGATACTTAAGTTTACCAATCAGAAATGTCATATGTAATGATTTTATTGTTTTATGAAAAGATATTCCAAAATATCTTAACTTTTGTGAAATAAGCTTAGCTGTTTTGTGTAATGATTTTATTGTTTTACCAAAACAATACTTGTTGCAAGCATAAATTCGAATTAGAAATTACAAACACTTATGGTCATTAGCTTAAGATAAAAACCATTCGTACCAAATATATTTGACAACTTAATTATTCACTCTCTTTTTTATGTGTTGGAGACATGTTGAAAGATCAAGTGATGACACGTTAGAGATTAGCAGACACATATAATATATTTAATTATTTATCTTATTTTGTTAGTGTAACATTATCTTTGAAAATACTATTTGTATTTTGTTCTTCTATGTGTAAGCATACAAACTGACTAAAGACATTTTGATTATTTAAAATTTAATATCTAGGTTTAAATTTGTCAAAGGCAGGACGGTGAGTGAGCTACAATGTGAGACCGTGAAGGAAGAGAATGCAATAACGGAAGAGTTATCGGAGTGGCAAGACGACGCGAGCGATCTCGTCATGGGAACGGTGTCCGATCTCGACCAGAGGAAAGAACGGCTAGCAGAGATAGTTCATCGAGCAGATGATCTGCGACTAAGAACGATCACAGGTGTGGTGGAGCTCCTTAGTCCGCTGCAACAAGCAGAGTTTCTTATAGCTGCCGTTGAGCTTCGTACCGGCGTTTCTGGTTGGGGGAGTAGCCACGACCGTCGTCGAAGTTCCAACGTGTAATGCGGTTTACAAAAAGCTAATGAGAATTGAGAGGATTTAATAGTTGTTAGATAATAACTATATGTGTTTGAAAAAAAATATATGTGTTTACCATGTTTTTATCATCCAAACTGAGTTTGGTTTTTACATGGTTATGAAATGTGGGAAACTTTGTTATGTTATGTATGCATGTTTTGCAATTTACAATGTGGAATTATGTTTTGTTATTTTACTTTTTTGGATTAGTTTTAAGCATTAGATGGGACTAACTGAAGCTTTTGTTACTTTGTCATCAAAAGATAATTAATACACGTGAATCGGGGGACATTGGTTATTGTTGGTTTCTTTAGACCAAGTGGATGAAGAAAGAAAGGTCAGCGAACATTATTACAAAAGACATGAAGTGAACGTGGCGTGGTAATGTCTCTTGAAGACATGCATGAAGACACTTGGTCTGGTACGCGTCCTTGTATCACGGCGTCGATTCCTAGCATTTTGTGTGGTTGGTTAAATTAAAACTTTGAAGAGATTCTTTTTTTTTTTCCCCTTTAAAAATACGAGATTCTTTTTCGTAAGTATTTTATTCAAATACTCGAAGACAGGAGATGACATAGTCATTTTATATTTGTTTGATCAGAGGATGACTTTTCATTTCCCCTACATCTTCGTGTAATTTTAATTGTTCTCCCTTGTTTTTTCTAACATTTGTAATGTTAATCAACCATAAAAAAATGCCCAAAATTTATACTTGAATTATTTTTTTTCGTGGAAAGTCTGGTGATTTAAGTAAATGTTCATAGGTTTAAAACTCCAAAAAATGAAATTATGCAAATTATAGAAAAAATAATTATAAGAGGTTTTTACTATAATGCATGGAAATATATAGATCTCATAAAATGGTTCGAAATGACACAAAAAAATGTATTCTCATAAGATAGTAAATTTGTCGCTGTAAAATTATCTATGTAATATTTTATATCATTGTAACAATGTAATTAAACTATATTTTAACAAAATATTTTTATTATGTGTTTATATACTTATAATTACATAAAATGACTTAAATTAGTCCAAAATAGATATGACAAACAAGTGATCTCGTCTCATACAACACCGGATTCGTCTTTACAACGGATTAGTCTTTAAGAAAGTCATTGTAGGTTAAACACGCACAAATCATGATTTTCGGAATGGTTGATGAAATCTACCTCGCCAAGAATATAAATCTTTGAGGGTTAGAACTACGCGTAGGACCGGACCTGAGTCCATACATAAAAAAATATTTAAATGGGATCCCAATATTATAAGGGTCCCAATTTTTTTTTTTAAATCTATATATTAATCTATGTATAAAATACATAAAAACGTGATTATATATTAATATATATTATTTGAAAATAAGGTATCTATATATTTTTTTGTACATATAATTTTTATTTTAAAATTTTCAAATAATTTTTTCATATATAGTTTTATAAATATAAAAACAAGATTATAAAAAAAAATGGAATGTGGTCCCTAATAAGTCAGGCCCGACCTGACTGCGGGACATAAGATTATATACGGTTATTTGAGGTGATGTGAAAACCATAATCACCGTCAGAACTCCATTTTTAATTGCCGGAAGTCCTATGGTTCTATCGGTAAAGAAAGACCTGAATTGCTGTTTCACACGCTCTCTCTTTCATTTTTTTTCAGGTAAAAAATAAATCGAAGAAATGATTTACGGCTTTTTGTTCTCTTGTATAATCCGCTTCAGTCCATCACATAAAAGGTTCACTCCACAAGAATATCCCACGGATCCCATAATTTTATATGCCTACGATATCAAAGATCTAATATACTTCGTTATAAGTTTTTGTGTGTTAAGTTTGCGGTTCAAGTTTAACATTGTCATCTCTAGCGCAAAGTTCATAAAATTGATTTCCCCTGAAACCCAAGCAAGTCAGTTATTGGACTTTTATAGCTCACAACGGCCCAATACGTATATTTACATCTACGTCCTTATATTCCGGGTAAATTACAATTCCACACTCTTCACCTAACTTACAGAATGGCGGGAATGTGATACTGAGCCCTAATTTTCTCGAAACCTCCCCCAAATGGCCATATGGTTTTATTAACCTCCTTCGTGTCTCATTATTCTCACTCTTCTTCTCCTCTTTCAATCATCCACTGTTTCAATCTCCTTTCCCGAGAACGAGGACGAAAGCATCTCTGCAATCGTAACATTTGGAGAATAACGGCGAAGAAGAAGATGCCGATTGTAGCTGAGTACGCGAAGTCGAACCGATCTTCGTGCAAGGCGTGCTCGAAGGCCATCGCCTCGAAAGCCCTAAGGGTAGGGTTGATTAGCAAGGGACCTGGTGGCTTCGATATGACCAGGTGGCACCATCTGGATTGTTTCCCTACCGATTCGGTGTCGATTGGTTCTGTTGATGATGTCAAAGGCTTATCCGCTTTAGAGGTTCGGGTTTTTTTTTCATCAAAAGGTTTTTTTTTAACAAAAGTTACAATCTTAAGGAAAGGTTTCAGCTTTTTCGACATTGTTCATTCTGTTATTGGTGTTAATGCATTTGTGTTATGGTGGCAGAAAGATGATCAGGATGCGTTGGCGAAACTAGTGGAACAGTGTGGTGAGCCTGCTAAAGAGGTAAGATAGTTTCACTCTTGTATAACTCATCTATATTTGGAATGTAGACTAGTTTACTGTTCTAAACTGCTTGTGTCTGTTGAAACAAATAAGGTTGATGAGAAGAAGGAAGAAGAGATTAAAGATCCTGGATTAGATGAAATGAGTGGGGAGAAGGTTAAGGAGGCGAAAGGTTCTTCTGCATCTGTGAATGTTATTGGTGAGTATGCGAAATCAAGTAGATCTTCATGTAAGAAGTGCTCTCAGACGATTGCTGCTAAAGAACTGAGGTTAGGGATGGTAACTAGAGACTCTCGGGGATTTGATATGACAAAATGGCATCACTTGGGATGTTTCCCCTTTGAATCTGTTCCAGTTGATTCTGTAGAGGACGTTGGTGGATTTTCGTCACTGCAGGTTAGTTTGTATCACTTGTTTGTAGTTTTCTAGTTACGGGGATATTGTCACATCGATTTTCAAATATATCAGTAGCATCATATCTTTAGTATACCTGCTTCATTTGTACTGACTTATCTTGCGTAACTGCTTCATTTGTTATGCTAAACAGAGCGTAGACCAGGATGCAATAAAGGAATTGGTCCTACAATGCGGGAAGACGACTTCGGTAGATGTACTAGCCAAAACATTGTTTGATTAAAAAATGCTTATTTACTTTGACGAAAGGAGTGTGTTTTGTAATAACTTCTTACATCAATTCATGGTGGGTTTGCAGAAGATGGAAGAAGATAACGATGACTCTGTAGCTGATAAAGGGCTAGCGGAGGAGACAAACAACAGAAAACCTTCTCAGGTTACTAGATAGCAAAGGGCTTACTTCATTGTCCTTTTGCTCGCATGGATTTAGAATGCATAATAAATTACTTTTCTTAACTGCTTGCATCGGTCAAATAAAGCAGGTTGAGGAAAAGGTAGAGATTAAAAAGGCAGGATCAGATGAAATAAGTGGTCAGAAGATTAAGGAGACGAAAGGTTCTTCTGCGTCTTCAAAAGTTATTGCTGAATACGCGAAATCAAGCAGATCATCATGCAAGAAGTGCTCTCAGACGATTGCTGCAAAGGAACTGAGATTGGGAGTCGTGACCAGAGACTTCCGGGGATTTGATATGACAAAGTGGCACCACTTGGGTTGTTTCCCCGTTGAATCAAATCCAGTTGATTCTATAGAGCTTATTGGTGGATTTTCATCACTGCAGGTTAGTCTGTATTTATAGATTAAGAATTGTCAGTTAAGGGGATAGAACTTCTGATTACTAGGATCATAAAATGAAACAGATGATGTTATATGAACATAGCTCTGTCATGTCGAATATTAATTAAATTGTTGTCACGTTGACTCTCAAATATATCAATGGCATGACATCAGTGGCAGTTCATGTTTGATAAGCACCCAAATACATAACTAGCCTTAGTCGTGCTGACACATCTTTTATATTTGATTCATTTTGTTACAAAATAACAGAATGCTGATCAAGATGCATTAAAGGAACTGGTCCAACAATGCGTGAACAAGACTTTGGTAGGTTTACTAGCAAAACCCTTTTACATGATATTTGCTTTCACGTACGAAACTTAATATTTGCGGCCTCTGAACTTACTTCTTACTCCATTTCCTGGTGGGATTGCAGAAGATGGACGAAGATAATGATGAGACTGGAACTGATTACCATCAAACGGAGGAGACAAACAAAAGAAAACATTCTCAGGTTATTAAATAGCATTAATCACGTCTTCTAATATAATTTTGTAAAAGTTTTCATTGTCCTGTAATTGACTGAGTTTTGTGAAGGTTGGGGAGATGGTGGTTGAAGATGAAGTGCAAACCAATGCGAACCAACCGAGTACTAGAAAACCTAAGGTATGCAAGCAATAATATGTATTTAAACAACTGTAATGGTTGCCAGTCTCTTCTTTATGTAGAGACTCTGCTAACTGATTTTAAACCTTGTGTTATGCAGATGAACACCAGTGAGTCAACTTCTCAGGTGGTAGCTGAAGCAGAAATCTCTCTTTCAGCTTCTGATGTGAAGGAAAAGTACAGGGTAGGCAGTCTTAGTGTGTATTAGGTTGTTCGTAGGGACTTTGCAGCTGTGGCATATGTATCATTTTCCAATCTTATGTCTCTGGCTGCTAATACTGTCTAGTCTGTCTTTTTTTTTCAGGATGCCAGTCTATTACCCAAGTGGAAAGCGTTTGAGACTGTAATATTCCTTGAGCGGGTCAGAAATCATCTTTAGATATGATCTTACTTTTCGAGTATAATTATAAGGTAATGTATTATGTCTTAACCATTAATTCATTTGATGCATCTTAACAGGATGATGGTCTTAATGATTCAGAGAAGATAGCTGCATTTGATTTTGATGGATGCCTTGCAAACACATCTGTGAAAAAGTAAGAGGCCACTTTGTCTCTCAGAATTTCGCTGTTTTTTCTGTTTCCAACCTCTTACAGTGACCATTCGCGATTTCCAGAGAGGAATCACACAATGCTTTTGTTGGTTTCACAGTGCACATATAGTAAATTTTAGTCCTGATGGAACATATTATTTTCGTTTTCTTCTTTCTCAGAGTAGGTGCAGATGCATGGTCACTTATGTATCCTTCAATTCCTGAGAAACTGCAAAGTCTTTATAGCCAAGGCTATAAGCTGGTACCTTCTTTTCATTCTGAGTTTCCTCTAAGCCATGTGACTTGATTGCGTTTGTTTGTATAGAGATACTGATTTTCAATGGTCATCAGGTGATTTTCACAAATGAGTCTAACATTGACCGGTGGAAAAACAAAAGACAAGCTGCTGTGGACTCGAAAATTGGACGCCTCAACAGTTTTATCAAACGCGTGGAGGTCCCCATTCAGGTGAAGTGCGGTTTGGTTTTTCATAATTAACAACGTTATTTTATCTTCTCAAGCACTCTGCTTCAACTTTGACGCAAATAAAAGCTCTATGTTGAAGTTAGTCCTGTCTTGCCAGTTCTCATAAGCTAACGTTTGAACTTTTCAATGTTTCCAAAGTGTTAATTCCCTGATATGTTGGTATCTGAAGCAGGTGTTTATAGCCTGCGGAGTCGCAAGCTCTGGTGGTAAAGATGACCTTTACCGCAAACCCAAGCCTGGAATGTGGCAACTCATGAAGAAGCACTTTAACTCTGGAATTGAAGTTGACATGGATAAGTTAGTTGTCTCCCAACTTGTTCTTAAATTTTTTGATTGACCTGTGAAACTTCTAGCAAGGCTGGAAGATGATTACACACAATTGTCCATCAGCTTTCTTTCATTTTTAAACTCCATCCGTTTGTGTTCTCTCTAGCACTTCAGTTTGGTTTATACTAACTTCTGTGTCATCAGATCGTTCTATGTTGGGGATGCAGCCGGGAGAAAAGGCGATCACAGCGATGCAGACATAAAATTTGCGCAGGTATTTGTTACAAACATCTCACCGATACTCAAGATAGTTTGTGTGACTTTCCTGATAGACAGCTGCTTGCTTTGGTTGAAGGCGAATGGATTGAAGTTTTTTACTCCCGAGGAGTACTTTATCGCTTGAAGTTAGGGAACTCAAGTCTTGTGCATTATGTTCATGTTCGCTATCTCTTTTGTCAGGCACGAATGCTTTTTGTGACCAAACCATCATCAATGTCTTGAACTTGACAGTTTTTTATATACACGGTCAGCTTTATGAAACTCAACACTCTTTTGTAAATGGCACTGCCATTTAAGCATCGACTTATCAAGCGTTACAGAGCTAACTGATTCAAGAAAATAGAAGCACAAGCAACATAACAAACCATTAATAACAAAAAATGCTTCGAGTCATCATTTTACATGCATGAGGTTCGAAAGTTCTTGGATGATCTCTTCTTCATGCTCCAATTACATACACAAAACATTCTTTCACTAATAATAATCAAAATAAAGAAGACCTGAATTGGTAGTTATCACTCTTTTTGACCAATCTCGCCTTCTAAAATGGCATGTCTTGTAAGAACAATCTCTTTCACAAGGTTCCTGTAAACAAAGGGCCTAACAGCAGCACGAAGAAAGAGCTCAGGTGGGATTCTACTCTTCTTTATCTTCTTCATCCACCTTCCATATCCTACTGTCTTCCATTCTTCTGGCTTCACTTTGGCCTTCTTACCTCTCATCTCCAACTCATCTCCTTCGAAATCAACATCTTCTCTTTCCGCCATTGCCTTTATCTGCTTCTCATAGAACTTATCTGACACCACCATGCTCATCTCCGCAAGCTTCTCCATCCTCTCTGCATTACTTGTCGCTTTCTTGAATTGCTCTTCCCAATACCTCTCATCCTCTTCCGGATCAGCCTCATCTACTTCACCTTCCAAACTGTCTTCCTCCACGTTTCCTTCTACATCCACAACCATATTATCATCATCTTCTTCTTCCTCCACCTCACTATCATCACCACCTTCATCTTCTTCAACCCATTCAGAGAATTCAGCCTTCTCTGAATTCACCTCATCCTCATCCTCATCTTCATCTGGAGCATCACACCCTAACTCCATCTCCTCCAACTTCGCTTTCCACTCTTTCGTATACGGATGCAACAACTCAACAGGATGGTTCCCAAGCAAAAACTTCAAAACCCTAGACTTCTTCTCATCACTACACTTCTCATAAGCCTTGACCACATCATCCACAAAAGCAGTCTGCCTCACCTTCAACATCTTACACAACCCACCATAGTAAGTACTCAACTCCACCCCACCATCATCACCCTCCACTTCAAAAACAAACCCACCCTCCGTCACAGGATCCAAATACGGCACAATCGAGTTAAAAAAACCCTCCTGAGGCTCAAACCTACACTGAAACACAGGCTTCTTAACATAAACAATATCAGGCCTAAACCAAGCCGCACACTGACAAATCAAAGACCTAGACTTATTCCCCAACCTCCCCATCAAATTCCACTTATCCAACCTCTTCTTCCTATCAACCTCCACAACAACCTCACTCACCAACGTCCACTGCTCCCACGGCAACTCACTCAACCTCCACTTGGGATGCCTAACGAAAACCCAAAAATACCTCAAACCAACCCCACCCGAATCCAACTCCTTGACCCGTTTCTGAAACGCTACGTTCATCTCATGCTGCTCAATCCTCTCAAACTCCTCGTGACTCTCCACCTCGCCAATCATAGTCACACACTCATCAGAGATCGTCCCGCGAACAGGGTCGCCAACCACAACGCCACGCCACGAGTAAGGCCCGAACTCGCCGTACTTGAACCAGTCGTGAGGGTGACGTAACCTCGGGTCGTCCTTATCCATAAACCGGACCATTCTGTCGTAACCGAGACCAATCATCTCGAGCTCGTCTTCAGTGAACTTGTCTGGATGGCTGCTGAGAATGTTGCTTCGGCTCTTCTTGTCGGGGTTGTTGTAGAGACGGTAGAAGAGAGACTCGGCTAGCTTCTTGGATTTCTCGCGAGCGTTGCGCTTTATTTGCTTTCTCGTGTTTGAGTCTCCTTCTATTCTTCCCCCGGATGTGCCTCCGGGCTTCTTCTTGCTTCGTCCGGCTAATGCGCGGACGTCTCGGCGGGAGGCAACATCTTTGTTGAGGAAAAGGTTGGAGATTTTGATTTTGTTCCTCTGGGTGAGGGGTGAGATGGGTATGGTTCTTTGTGTGAAGGAGTTGGGTGGAGATTTAGGGATGGAGAAAGGGGAGAGGGAGGAGAAGGTGGGGTTTAGGGTTTTAGAAAAGGATAAATCTTGGCCTAACATTTTCTTCCTCCTTCCCGAAACAACGAAGAGACAGAGTGATGAGAGATGACGATTAGGGACTGTAATAATTATATAAGTCGATGAATACGACGCCGTTTTCGTTGATCAATACACAGCGTTTAATCTTATTAATTAAGCAGATGATACGAATCCCATTTGGGTTTCGGTTTTCTCTAATCGGGTCTTGGTTCTTTGAGTTTATCAAAATTAGCCTCATTCGGTTATTTGAAAGTTCGGTTTGGGATCAGTTCGAGTTCTATCGGATTCGGGTCGGAGTTAGTAAATCTTTAAAGAACCGGTACAATACGTTCTACTTTTGGATTCGGGTCCAATCAATTTTTTGGTTTTAAAATACTTGAGTTGTATCTATTTTGTAACCAAAACATAAGTAAAATCGGTTATTCGGATTTAAAGTACTTAATGTGTAACTATATTGTAATTAAAACATAAATAAAATTGATTTAAAAATACAAAAGGAACATCAAATTTAATCATTCAAAATCAAATGAAAAGTAAACATAGTTATTAATAAAAAGAAAACCAAATAAATGAAAGCATAAAACGAAAGCTAAGTTCTTATAAAATGAGAAACATTATTCAATAATAACAAAATCCTACTCTAAAATTTTCAAGTTTCAACCGCCACTTTCAACTATCAACATTCATGTAATAGATAATTATTTTAGATGTTTAGTACTATCTTAAAATATTTGAGATATATATTAGGAATTAAGATCATGTTCGGTACACGTTCTTATTAAAAAAATTTGAAAGTTTCGGATTCTATCGGATATCCATTTAATTTCGGGTTCGAATCCGGTAATACCCATAATCTGAAATACCATAAAACAAGATCCATTCGATATTTAAATTGAGTTCGGATTCATTTTTATCGAATCGAGTTTGATTTGAATTTTCGTGTTCGGTTTATTTGCCCAGCCCTAGAACACACCAAGCAATACGACGCGTAAGTACTTAAGTCGATGCAATACGACGGCGTTTGCCGATTAATATGACGGCACGGTGTAGAATACGGCAGCCTATGGCGTTTAAACAGAATACGAAAGCCTATGAAGCCTACGAAACGGCAGCGTTTTTATCGTATAAATACGACAGCGTCCAAGTCAATTAATACGACGGCGTTTTAAGGATTCCCGACACGCAAGCCATCATTACACTAACTAAAAATCCTGTCTTTTTAATTTTTTTCCTTTCTCCGATAGAACTTTATTATGGCAAAGAGGATACATCTGACGGAACTAGGCTGCATCGCGTGCGAGGAACTCACTGAGCTCGGTGCAGGCAAAGAAGGATGGCTCGTGAACAATCCAAATCTCCTCTCCGCACTCGATTCCCACTCTCTAGCCCTAGCCAATCGATTCCTCATTTTGATCGTAAATTGGGCTGATCCTGATTCCCCTCGGGTCAAGATCAGACCCGATCTGTCTCCCATCGAGGCGGAATCGATCACAGCGATCGAATGGTTAGTCTTTGACGACGTCAGAGTCGTCCTCGCCGGGACTTCCTGTGGATATCTCCTTGTTTACTCTATTGCTGGTGATCTGATTCATAAACAGGTAAATAAATTTAGAAACTTTTAAGACTGATGTTTGGTTAAAATGATTTTATTAACAATCTTGTCCGAAAGAACACGTTGTGGCAGTTATTTAGTTTGGTTACTTCACATTAGTTTCAAGTGTGTTCTTATGGATGTGTATTACAATCTTGTCCGAAAGAACACGTTGTGGCAGTTATTTAGTTTGGTTACTTCACATAGTTTCTTATGTAATAATGTTACAGTTGGTGCATCCTAGCCGTGTATTGAAACTAAGAGTACGTGGAACTAAGAAAGGTTTGATGCAAGAGACATCCTCTGAGGAGATTAGTGTTGTGTTGCCTGGTATTATTGCTCGCTTTGATGGCTCCAACATTCTGGTAAGTGTTGTAAAAGCTTCTGAATTTATTGGGGAACTGTTAAGTAGTTCTGAGAGTTGTTTGTGGTTTGTAGAGTATGCTTCAGAGATGGTTTGAAGAAACAAACTCTAACTTTTGGGATCAAAAGAGTAAAAAGAGTGATCCGGACGATAATGGGAGTTTATATCAGCGTTTACCGTATCAGATTTGGAATGTTTACAAGAATGGTGTGTGTGTTGATGCTACTATCACCGGTATAATGCCTCCTCCGTTACTGGAACATCAGGTGACTAGTGATGCCTTTTTTATTTATTTTTATTGTAGGAAATGCTCATGATTTATTAAATGATGATGTTGATTCTTTGACAGTCAAGTCAACGTTATTACTGTGCAGTGACTATTGGAGAGGATGCTGTAATCTCGGCTTACAGGTTGGTAACATTTTCGGTGATTTTTACTATATTGGTTACTTCATGGTGTTTCTTCTGTTGAACAAAGGAACCTTTTTATGATCTTTTTTTTTAATTAGAGTTATTATGTTGTGTTTTTTTGAAAGGCTCTCAGAGGATAGAGGTAGGTCGCTTGTTGGAGCGATTCTATCAAAAGTTGTACCTGCAGCTGCTTCAACCATTGCTTCTTTTTCAAAACTGATCTGGAGAAGTAATGATAAGTCACCAAAGAAAAAGCCAGAAGACAAGACTCAATCATTCGCTCGAGGTTGATTTCATTCCCAAAGAATATATCACTTTTTAAGCATCACATTCAGTCTTTATATAGCTTAACCTTTTCAAAAATGTTGGCATCAGCATCATCCTTGACATGTATAAAGGACTACCCTAGGAAAGGCGAGAGGCTGACGTTATCCCCAAGTGGGACGTTAGCTGCTATAACAGATTCTCTTGGTCGTATACTACTTCTAGATACTCAAGCTCTAGTAGTTGTCAGACTATGGAAGGTTCGTGTTAACATCCTTCATACTTTTTTTCTCTCCTTAAAAAGATTACAGAGTTTTCTTCTTTAGGGTTATCGTGACGCTAGCTGCGTGTTCATGGAGATGTTAGCCAAAAAAGATAAAGGAAAATCTGTGTATCACACAGAACCGGTGAAAAGCGATTACTGTCTATGCTTAGCCATTCACGCACCACGCAAAGGCATCATCGAGGTAACGTTGTCTACATTAAAGTTGTTTTGATTATATGGCGTGTGACTTTAATTTGCTAATGAACTTTGAAACCAGGTGTGGCAGATGAGAACTGGGCCACGTCTTCTAACGATTCAATGTGCGAAAGGTAGCAAGTTGTTGCAGCCTGCGTACAGGTTTGGATCAAACTCTTCATCTTCTCCTTACATTCCTCTTGAAGTCTTCTTACTCAATGGAGATTCGGGCCAAGTCTCTATGCTCAACCGATCTCTGTCTTAAGTAACCTTCTTCATCTTCAATAGGCTTCTTCATATCTTTTTTGTACCCACAAACTTGTTGTGCATAGCTAAGAGGAGTCTCTAATTGATTACAAGAGCGATTGATCTATAATCTGTTATCTAATCAAGAAGAAGAAAGTTGCAGTGATTTCTTTAATGTGTAGTTAGTGTTTGTTTTATGTGATATTCTTCATAACATTGTAACTAGATAGTAGTGTCTATTTATTTGCTTCCAAGATTCAGCAAATAGTTTTGCTACGTTTGTATTGTTGGTTTCACTGAATGTAACTGAGTAATAACCATAGCTACAATTGATTCGTTAATGGATGTTGTTGTTATAACTACTTTTTAATTTAATAAAGTGGAGAAATCACAATAGTGACAATGGATTGACGAGCACATTCAAGAGGAAGCTGGAGAACAAGCAAGCAAGAAGCATAGGGGTTTATGGTGGTGAAGAATAATTTAGTGGGTCAATGGTAATGGAAGCCCCAGAACAAGAATATAACTAGTGTTGGAAGTGACCAATGGTACTTAAGGAATATATCAGTGGTGATAGAACCGGTTTATGATGGATTGAAGGCTAATAAACCGATTCATTTGAATTCTTCTAAAAGGGAAAGTACTGTTCAAAACATTCTGGTTGGTTGACATATGTGAGTAATAGATATCATATTTAACCGGTGTCTGAACCATTAAGATCCAACTAGCTTTTGACCCGCGCGTCCGCGCGGGTGTATGTTTTGTATAATTATATGTTTGTGTTAGTTGTATAAACATTCATGTTTATGTTTATAGGTTACTGAGTTATGATGTCGGTGTATCTTGTTCATTTTGTTTAGTATTTTATTTAACTATCATGTTGTATTTTTGATATTGTATTTTTTTATTTTATGTAGTAAAT